ACCAAAAAAGAGGAAGACCCTCAATGAGATGGATTGACACAGTGGCTGCAAAAATGGGATCAAGCATAGCAATGATTGTGAGGATGCCGCAGGACCGGGCAGTGTTTCGTTCTGTTGTACATAGGATCTCTATGAGTCAGAACCAATTTGACAGCACCTAACAACAATGAGCCAGTAAGAGATTATAGCAGTAGCAAAATTGTTGGTTTGGGTGGATTTCTAGAGTCCAGTCGCTAAATTTGGTGACCAGTTAGATACAGAGCAGGGTAGACAGAGGAGAGGTACAGAGAATAAATGATAAATACAAGTTTTTTAGCCCAGGAGACTTGGTAGATGATGCCATTCACTGACAAAATATGAAAAGGGGAAATGGAGATTATAAATTACGGTTGACCCACATATAAAATTTGAATCCATCCTCAGAGATATAGTCTATATGATTTAAATAAATGGTGTTCTGAAGTTGACCATTTCTTAGGAAGGGAGAGATCTTGTAAATGTCATAAATATCTGCTAATAAACATAAGTATGCTAGTCACCAAGTCCAGTTAGGTTAGGATTTAATAAGAAACACAAAAACATTCCTGATTCCCAGCCCCAAATCCTGTTTTGCTTTGTTTTCCCTTACAGGTAAGTCATGTCAGAATCCTAGTGAACTCCTCCACAGCTCTGTGCTTATAACCAGGGATATGGTGGTTGGGTTAACAATTACATATTCTGGTAATGAAGGGTGAGTTGGCAGGAGACATCTCCAGGTACCTGGGTATTATAACAGTAGTTCCAACTAATAACTAAGTCTTCCAAAAAAGACCTGAGTAATTGCTGCCTATCCTTAAAAATAGATAAGCAAGAAGAGAATGCTCTCTCTAATCTGCCCCAGACACATCTCTTTAGGATTACCCACTAGAGAGGAACCCTTGAAGAGAAAGAAGTTTGGACAACTCTTCTTCCCATTTTAAAGCTCTATGGCTACTGATTAGTAAGAATATCATTTGGCTTTAGTTTGTTGACTCTTTTACATGGACCTTAATCTATCATAACTACCTGTCACACATGATGTTCCACTCTATGCCATTCTTTCCCTGGGGAAAGAACTAAGCTTTTCTAAAATGTAAGTCTAGCTGGGAGATGATCACTCATCTCTTTGTCTTTAGATATTGACTCATTGGCAATTCATGTACTACATATATTATCTCAGACAATACTGTAACCTAGGTAAAGGACATGCTTCTTTGTGAATGTGAATAAAATGACCTATGAATTGCACCTTATGTAATTCCTGTTGTCCCCTTTCAGAGGGAAGATGGGCATCTACATATGAAAATGAGTATCCAAGAAGGTTACACATGGTTTGGGAAATTCTGGTCTCAGAGCTATGATTTTTCTAACTTTGCATATGTTCCCGAATCCTGTCACACTCTCTTTCGATCAATGTTCTTTGATGATAAGTTATTTCACAGCAAATAAATGCTGTAATCAAATATACCATTAGATTACACACTGTTAACTTTATCCCATGCAAAAGGTAGGCCACTCTAGATACCTCCCATAAAAGTGTACCTGTACCCTGGGGATGGGGACTGGTGACTAGCTCATAGCTTTTTGAGTTTTCATCAGGCCAGCTCCATGTATCTTCTGACATTGCTACTTCCTACTTAGGCCCATATTGGAGATCACAATACAGAATTTCAACAGTATGGGTAAATTGTAGATGGAGGTGAAGCTTGGTTTGTGAGAATTAAGACAATATTTCCAGAAAATATAACATTTAAATGTCATCTTTTCTCTCTTTTCCCACACATTCCCAAAAAAAGCTATTCCTTGTGAACCACCCCTAGCCATCTCCAATGCGGACTTTCACAGCAGCAATAGAGAGGGCTTTCACAATGGCATAGTGGTGACTTATCACTGCCATGTTGGACAGAATGGGAAAAAGCTGTTGCACCTCATGGGTGAGAAGTCAATATATCGTACGAGCAAAGACAATCAAGTTGGCATCTGGAGCAGCCCACCCAGGGCTGCTAGTATTTAGGTTGGCTCTCTACCCTCTGTTATCCCTTTCCCTACTACTCTTATTGAGAAATGGCTGACTTACTAGAAACATAGCAACATTGGAAGTCCTTCCTCAAAGCCTACAAACCTCATCAACCTTGTTTTGGGAGCAGGAAGAATGATATTGGTAGTCAAAATATATGACAAAAGTTTGGTTCCTTTGGCTATAATATTGGTGAGAGGCTATCTGAGGCCCTTTTAGTTAAATGGGAAAATGAGTGGGTATTATGTTTCCTGGGATAGATCAGAGTAGGGAAAGCAGATGGTTATATGGTTCATCATGTCTAAAAAAGTAATCCATACTATCCCCACTCCACCCCAACCAAAGGAGCCTCTGCCTTATACTTAGGTGTGTCCACCTCCATCCTATCACTACAAACCCCATGCTGGTTTACGTTTTAGAGAAGAAAGTTCTTCTTTCAAGAATAAAAGGTCTTCTGGTCCTGTTCTTTTCTCAGGATGTCTAGCACCTCCACATATCTATCATGGTAGTTATAAAAAAAAGGGTTAAGGAGTTCTTTCCCATTGGACAGAAAGTATCCTACAGCTGTGAGCCTGGCTACACTCTCAATGGAACTAACCCAGTGCAGTGTATGTCCTTGGGAATCTGGAGCCATGCAGCTCCCAGATGTGAAGGTGCCTAAAGCTCTACTTCATCTTAAGGAAACTGAAGTGTTTCCTGACTCTTCATATGCCAGCCTTGTCTCTTTTCTCCTAGTGAAATCATGTGATGCCATTCCTAACCAGCTTCTCAATGGTCGTGTGGTACCTCCATCTAGTCTCCAGCTTTGGGCAGAGGTTTCCTTTGTTTGTGATGAGGTCTGAACTGAGACCTCGATCCCATAGCTAATCACTGTGGTTTCTAAAGAAAATTTAAAATTTTTTTTCTCTGAATTTTTTCTCTCCTTTTATCTTTTATGATTAGGTATTCTGTCATTAACCAAAGCCTGTTGGTTTTCTCCAAATATTTCTCCAAGTATTTTGCTTTGCCAGCGAAGCTAGGAATTGTCCTTTCATGACTTGAAGAAATACAGTTTTTGTTCAGAAGGCTCCTATCATAGAGAATGAGTAGAAGATTGAGGGGTTCAGTGAGAGGAGCTCTTCAGGGTGAGCTTGGAGAACTTGAGGTGTTCTTCACTAGGAACTGAGATTTTTTTTCTTCTAAATAGTCAAAAGAATCTTGATATTTGGATGCCAAAGAGGAGAGGGAGAATTAAAAAATTAATATGATTGTGAGGATTTTTTCCTCTGTTTTTACCTGATCTGAAGTCACCACCTAGTTGAGCTGAATCACAAACAACCTTGGACTTTTCCTCAAGTTAGAAATGCTTAAAAGTTAGAGGCCATTAATACCATATACTTAAGAGAAGTGACTAATTCCATGCAGCTGAGAATTGGTTTGTTCTGGTGACGATTTGTACCCCATATTGTTGAAGGTTCTGGTTAAATGGCAAATCTCCTATCAGTATGTCCCAGAAGGTATGACAGTACTCTGGAATAATGTTTCCTGTCTATGAACATGAGTAGAAAACAAAAATAATCAAGTATGGATCTTGCCCTATGATTTTTGGTGTGCTGCCATGAATTTATCGATTCTAACATCTTGTCCATGTTTGTGATTTGGATTCTAGCATGTATGTTCCACATGTTCTAGAATGCAGACTAAAAATGTTAGCTATATTTATTGAATTGATTAAGCATTTTATTGAGTGTTCTCTATACCTAGAGCTAAAAGCTCTCTAAATTCACCCCTAGTAAAACTGAGTATACCACTCACGTGCTAAAACGGTTTGGCTGTCTTCTTATGCCAGTTCTTATGCTGCAGAGATCATCTTGGTGTCAAATGGAAATTAACTAGAAGTTCCAGAGGTTGGCAGTTTTCTCTTTATTCTGAAACTCACTCAGGAAAGGTGTGAATATACCTATAAGAAATGGATATCACTCATGCCCATTAGGACAAGTAAATAAAGGATATGAGGTCATTGTGCAAAACTACTTCCTGTGGCTTTTTCCAACGGGTCCAGCATGAAGGGAGGAAAAGGGACCTATAATAAGGCCACAGTATCTTTAGTAGCAGGACAGGATGTGGTCACACTGCCTGTAGCCCCAGGTGGGTGTCTGAATCAGGCACTGAATAACGACTATGTTATGGGTACCATACTGGCCCTTTCAACTTGCATTTTCATCTCACAGGGTTCTCACCACCACCTTTTGAAGTAGCTTGAATTATCCTACTGGCTGGGAAACTGAGGGTTGGAGAGGGTTAAGACATGCCTAAGGTCACACAGCTATTGAACGACAGGTGGGATTTGGAGCCAGGTTAGCGCTCAGCTGCTAATCAAAAGGTTGGCAGTTCGAACCCACAAGCTGCTCTGCAGGAGGAAGACTTGGCGGTCTGCTTCCATAAAGATTACAGCCTTGAAAATCCCATGGGGCAGTTCTACTGTGTCCTACAGGGTCACTATGAGTTGGAATTGACAGATGGAGACTGGTTTGGTTTTCTAAACTGGGATTTCATTAGTTCATAGTATGGCCTTGCATGCCATTAGCATGTCATTAACATGTCATTAGCATATACTTTCCATGTGCTAAGTTTACCTTTTGTTTCATTATTAAAATTGATTTGAGTCAGAACTGCTCTAAATTCTGTTTCATTGTGATTGTTTGGTTAAGATGCTACTTATAGTTTTACATTGATTTGTTTTCTGAGGAATAAACAAGAAGTAGGAAACGAGGAGCTTGGGACTAAGAGGGAACAATGAGTAGGGAAGAAATTATACAGATTTTTAAATCTGTTTCTGGAGAAAGAACATGACCTATATTTTGCATCTTTTACCTAAAATTGACTCTTTTTGTGGTGGTGGTGGTGGTGGTGGTGGTTTACACTAAACCTTTTTACTCCGGTGTCATGACCAATATGCCCACATAGTTCCTTTTCTTCTTTTCAGGGATTTCTTGTGACCCTCCTCCTGTGGTAGAAAATGCTAGAAGATTTTATTTTTCTGGCCCTGTTAGTGTTGGCAATGTGATAAGGTACAGTTGCTTGCCTAACTTCCGCCTCATTGGAGAAAAAAATGTTTATTGTATTCGTAAAGACCACGTGACTGCAGTCTGGGATAAAGCTGCTCCTAGATGTGAATATTACAATAAACATTCCATTTGCTCTGAGCCAGAAGTACCAGGCGGATACAGAAATAAACAATCCAGACCACCATACAGACATGGTGATTCTGTGACATTTACCTGCAATACCAACTTTACCATGAAAGGAAACAAGTCTGTTTGGTGCCAAGGAAATGGAACGTGGGGACCCACACCACTGCCAACCTGTGAGAGTGGTGAGTACAAGAATAAAACTGAGCTGGGATGTCGGGGCTTCGCATCTGTGCAGCCCAAATTTTGTATTATTCTGAAGGAAAAACTGTGGATGTATAAGGGGAGGAAGTGAGGGAAAGGGTAAAAATTATGGTTTCCTGTTTTCTCTTAGTCATAGAGGAATATAAATATTCATTCAACAAACATCAATTGAGCAAAGAAATTTATAGTATAATGGGAGAATGTAATTCAACATACCTGATGATTGAATATGAGGCATTGGTGCTTCAATGGTAAAATCCTCGCCCTCCATGAGGAAGACCCGAGTTCAATTCCCAGCCAATGCACCTCATGCACAGCTACCACTTGTCTGTCGGTGGTGACTTGCATGTAGCTATAATGCCAAACAGCTTTAGCAGAGCTTTCTCACTAAGATGGATTAGGAAGAAAGGCCTAGTGATCTGCTTCTGAAAATCAGCCGGTAAAAACCCTCTAAATCACAGTGGAACACTGTCCATCCCCAACCGATCATGGGGATAGTGCAGGACCTGGCAGTGTTCTGTTCCCCTGTGTATGGAATCACCATGAATCAGGGCCAACTCAACAGCAGCTAACAATAACAATGATTGGAAAAACAAGTCTTCCAAGGATGGGGGAGTGGCTGGGGCTGTGGTAGTTGGGTGGTTTGAAATTGTATATCTGGGTTACTCTTAGAATGAGAAGACATGTGGGATCTAATAGCAAAAATACACTCAATGAATTTACAGCTCGTGTATAAATAGCTGTTAATACAGTCTGGCAAAGATGATGTGCCTGTTAGCTGTAGTCTCTGTGACCAGTTTCTAAAGTGATCCATTGTTTTCTCAAGGCTTTGCCTGAGCAACAACATTTCTCATCAAATGACTTGGAAAATCAAATCTGGACTACCATAAATTCTTCATTTCCTTCTCGGTCAGTGTGGTGTATGTTGCTGCTGAATCTAAATCTGAATTTCAATTATCAATGACAGGGATGGGCCATCGTTGACAAAAATTTTGTCATCGACATTAGATATTTTCTTGATACAGAACAATATTGATAAATTCTTAACGGATTGAAGTGCTTAAAAAACTTAAATTATTAAAAAATTTTGATTATATATTCATATGTTATACATATATAAAATTGTGGAGGTAGGAAAGGTCTTCTTAAGATAGTCACAAAATGGAAAGTACATACTCTAGAAAACAATGGAGCCTTTATATCGATTTAGGTAGATATACATGTGTTGACATAGAAAGATCTCATAGATTATTAAGAAAAGGAAGTAAGGCATAGAATAAGATGTATTAGGTATATACATATATATACACATATATACATATTGTATGTGTATTACACATACAGGATCCCACTAAACTATGTTACTAATGACTGGCAGGATAACCCCTCAGATGAGAACATGGTGCTTTTGGAGCAGAGAGGAGACTTATGGATAGGGTGAGAATGTGGGTGGAAATGGACTTTTTTAGTAACTAAATATTTTCACAAGGCAAATGTAATTCATAAAGTGTAAGTAAAAATGAAAAATAGTATACTATTCATGGTATGAAATGGATGCAATTAAACCACAACTGGTTGTTGATCTTTAAAAGGCTGAGTTGAAACTTAATGACCATGGTTACTATAGATTCCCTGTCACTATTTGGATCTGGATACTAAGTCAGGATCTAGGTTATGATGGATGTATCACCTGATGGCTTTGTTTCTGTGTAAAGATTTCCCCTTGGAGTGTCCATCACTTCCCAGCATCCCCAATGGTCATCACACGGGGGAGAACGGAAGCTCCCTTGTGCCAGGATTGTCTGTGACTTACAGCTGTGATCGTGGCTACTTACTTCATGGAAAGAAGACCATCATCTGTTTGTCTTCAGGAGCCTGGAGTGCTACCAGTCCCACATGTAAAGGTGCCCTGAATTTATAATCCGTTTTCAGAATGTGGGCTGTTCTGCTAGTCACCATGCTTTGCTCATCTTTGGCTTGTTTCCTTAGAGGCACAGTGTGAATCTCCAGGACGATTTCCCAATGGGCAGGTACAGCAGCCACCAAGTCTCCGGGTTGGTGTAACTGCGAACTATTCCTGTAACGAAGGGTGAGTGTCAGCTGGGCCTATGACATTTCATTCCGTTGGCCTGTGTGCATAGCATGAACTGTGAAGCCTACAGAAGGCTCCTCTGTGAGGATGTCTGGGCAGCCTGGGTGAGGGTGTGAGAGAAAATGCTGATACAAGGAATAGGCGCACATGGTGAATCTTGGATTCGAAGTAGAGGCTGCTGTTCTGCAGTGCTCTGAGTGACAACCCTCTGTCTCCAGGTATCGACTACGAGGCCAGCCTTCTAGCCAGTGTGTAATTGCTGGGCAGCGCGCTGTGTGGACCAAGACGCCAGTATGCGAAGGTCGGCAAGGCAACTGGTTTGCAACTAGTTCCTTGATCAGAGGTTCAACAGGACACTACATCCTCAGCTTAATTAAAAGCTTTTGGTTCAGTCGTTACTGCACAGGCTTTTGTGGAGCAAAGGCCTCTCTCTTAAAGCTCTTTAAGGGATACTGTCTTTACTAAGGAATACTTTGATTACCTATCTATTCTCCACTTACTCAGCTAAAACACGGTTGCTAGCCTTTCCTTCTTGAAAGCGCTGCAGACTTGCTAAGTATGCAACCAGGCCATGCACATTAAGGAGGTCATATATTTGGTAAAAGAAATCTAAGGATCGGAAGAGTGGATGTACTCAGGAGTTAGGTTTAAAAACCATACCTTTTAAGTTGTATTGCTTTATCTACCTTGATTGAGTCATTAAATATCACTGTCCTTGAAACTCACATATGAGTGGTACCAAGCAGCATCTGAGGCTTTCTTTGTTTGCTGTACACCTATGACATGACCTTGTCATTTCTCCCTGTAATTTTTCTAGTAATTCTTTGCTCACCACCTCCTACTATTCACAATGGAAGACATACAAGCAGCTCTTCAGGGCCTGTTCGATATGGAAGCACAGTCACTTATACTTGTGACCCAGACCCAGAGAAAGGAGTGAGCTTCATCCTTATTGGGGAGAACACTATCTATTGTACCAGTGATAGGCAGAAGACTGGGATCTGGAGTGGCCCTAGCCCACGCTGTGAACTTTCTACTTTTGCTGTTCAGTGCACACACCCTCAAGTCCTAAACAGATATACATTATTCGTGCAGAAAGAGGAATACCCCTATAATGCCACTGTGGTGTTTGCTTGTGCGTCTGGTTTCACCATGAAAGGCAGACGCCAAATCCGATGCAATGCTCAAGGCACATGGGAACCATCAGTACCAGTCTGTGAAAAGGGTGAGTGTTGCAGAATAGGTGCTACTGACTCATACATTTGAAAAGACAGAGGAAGGGGTTATGGATTTCAGCAAGGCCTTTTCCAGTCTTTATTCCCTTTGCTTATATGAAATATCTGTATATAACAAACAAACAAACCCAGTGCCATCGAGTCATTTCTGACTCATAGTGACCCTACAGGACAGAGTAGAACTGCCCCATAGGGTTTCCAAGGAGCAGCTGGTGGATTCGAACTGCTAACCTTTTGGTTAGCAGCCAAACACTTAACCACTTAGCCACTAGGGCTCCATAGCAATTCTATTAAGGGAAGTCAGCAAAGCCCCATCCCAGCAGTATATTCAAATCTCCAATAAAAAGCTTACAAGATGATTCCTTAAGAAAGGAAAGAAGTTACAGCATGGAGTGGGAACTGAATAAAATCTGAAGCAACCTAAGTGCCGAAAAGAGAAAACGACTGAGAAACACTCATCTAAAATCACCCACAACTGGGCTGTAAGATAGTTTCCGTACCGCCCATTGCCTCCAGAGTGGGATGGTAGCATTAATGTCAAGTTCTTTGCCTCTGTTTTCTTTCTGTTGCTGTTAACACCAGACTTTTGTTTTGGTTTTGTTTTCTTCAGAGTGCCAGGCCCCTCCTAAAATCCTCAATGGGCAAATCAAAGGTGGACACGTGTCACACTTTGACCCTGGAACATCCATACAGTACGGCTGTGACCCCGGCTACGTGTTGGTGGGAGAAGAATACATACACTGTACCTCGGAGGGTGTGTGGACACCTGGAGCCCCACAGTGCAAAGGTGCCAGGCTTCGTATGTGGATGTTTTGTTGCTGGTGCAGTTACCTTGAGTTGATTTCTCATCCTGGTCTCTCTTCTTAGCGGCAGAGTGTGAACCTATAGGAACAGAACTCTTTAAAAAACCCCAGGATCATTTTATTCGACAAGATGCTAACTCTTCCTGTGATGAAGGGTGAGTGACAACTGTCTCAGCCTGAAGCAGGTCTGCTTCTCAGTGCCCACTGTGCACTCTGTGTAAGAACATACCTCAAAGCCCCTCCCCGTCACATGTCCGTGGACTGTCAGTCGCTCTACTTTTCTGTGCATAGAAGCTATGCCTGTGCAGTGGATGGGTGGTGCGGTCGCTGGCTATGTTTTTGTTCCTGTTGCTTCTTGTCCTGAAAGTGGTGAGTGTGCTTTTGAGCCAACAGCTGTTGCTTAGCTGAGTGGTCCCCAGCTGGGAAAATTACAAGCCTCTTTGTCCCTAGGTACCGGTTGGGTGAGAGTGTTTATCAGCTGTGTCAAGGCACAGTTCTTTGGTTTCTAGAGATTCGCCTTTGTAAAGGTGAGTATCAAGAATAAGAGAAGAATTGAAATAATGAGAGAGCTATGCATTTCCTGGGAGATTTCTGTCTCAGGCCATTTTATGGGACTAAAAATACCCGATTCTATTGTATTAACTCTGTCAACAGTTACAGTTGAACGGCTTTCCTATGTCTTTCTGTTGTCACCTCTTTCTATCAAACAACATCAATCAGTTAAATTAAATAGACTCAGTTAATGATTCTCTTTTGTGATTTAGGACTATAAGAATACGGAGGGCAGTGAGTATATGAGCCACTGTTCTAAACTGTGGGTACCATTTTAATGGAGAAAATAGAGCCATGGGTGTTAGATCTGAACTCAGATTCTGTTTGTACTATTAAATAGCTGTATGATCTTGGGCAATTTACATAGCTTCTCTGAAACTCCAGTCTCTCATCTGTAAAATTAGCATAAGACTATAAACTGCAAGTTATTAGAATTAAATAGTGCTATCCCTATGGCAATGCATTTGTTTGTTTTATTCCTACCTTCTAGTTTAGAAAACTGGCTTCCACAAAGTAGGTGCTCAATCAATAATAAATATCCTTGGATAACCATATAAACTATTGCATGACCTCAACACAAAGATGGTACTCAAAAGGCTTAATCCTATTTCCCCATGCCTTTTATTCTATTATTTATTTTTTAAAATCTTTTAATTAATAATTTACTCCTCTCCTTACTGCCTCACAACATTACTGACCAACCTGTTCACTTTGAACAAAGATTCCCATGACAAAACCTGTCCTGTGAAATCTGTCTAAATTGAATTGTACATGTATAATGAGATTTGATATAAATCACATCATCAACAACAGGTTCATTACCAGCTTCACTTCTTTTCTTTGGTGTCTAATCCCGGGGCAGAGTTCTATAGTAACCTTTCATCTCTCCAGAAATCACATGCCCACCACCTCCTGTTATCTACAATGGGATACACTCATGGAGTTCCTCAGAGGACGTTCCACATGGAACTACAGTCACTTACACATGTAACCCAGGGCCAGAGAGAGGAGTGAAATTCAACCTCATTGGGAAGAACACCATCCGCTGTATAAGCAATGAGCGAGAGACAGGCAGCTGGAGTGGCCCTGCTCCTGTCTGTGAACTTTCCATCCCCCATGTTCAATGCTCACATGCCTACATTGCAAATGGGAATAAGATATCTGGCAAGGAAGCCCCATATTTCTACAATGACAGTGTGACATTCAAGTGTCATGATGGATTTACTTTGAAGGGCAGCAGTCAGATTCGTTGCAAAGCCAATAACACCTGGGATCCTGAAATACCAGTTTGTGAGAAAGGTAAGAACCCAATGGACAAAAAAGAAGTAATCTGTGTATTTATAGAACTGTATTGTTTGTTTTCTAGAATCACAGAAAAAGGTGAGACTACTTTCCCATTCCATCCATTCTCTAATAGAATGTTGTATGTGAGCTGTGGATGTTTTTTGTGCAAACGCCCCTGTGGATCTGGGATATAGTCAGGGTAGATATTGACAGGACTTTTTAAAGTTTCCTAAAACCAGTAACCAATTGCTGTCAAATTGACTCTGACTCATGGTGACCTCTTGCACGTCAGAGTAGAACTATTCTCCATAGGGTTTTCAATGACTGATTTTTCAGAATAGATTGCCAGGCTTTTCTTCCAAGACACCTCTAAGTAGACTCAAACCAACCTTTTGGTTAGCAACCCAGCTCGTTAACTGTTGCATCACTCAGGGACTTCTAGTTCCTTCAAGAGTGAGAAGAATTCAGTGATAAATTAGAGCTTCGTGGTCTTTGGCTTGGACATTTCAGACTGTTGTCGAATGTTGTATACTTAATGTTCTTTAGTATAAATTCCATTTTGTTGGTATTTATGTGGGGAGTTTTCTCTTCAGACTGCCAGCCACCTTCTGAAATCCACCATGGTCAGCACACAGGTGGGGATAGGGTCCGCTTTGCCTCTGGGACAACTGTTGACTACACCTGTGACTCTGGCTACTTGCTTGTGGGAAACAAAACCATTCACTGCATGCCTTCAGGAATGTGGAGTCCTTCCCCACGGTGTGAAGGTACTTTCAGTTCCAGGATTATTTTTCTCTTTGATAATGAGATCTCTATAAGTAATTCCAACTTTGCTCCTCTAGAAGGATCATGTAAGCCTGTGAAAGATATGCAAGAGATTCCATCTGGCACACGTGTGGTAACATTCAATATGTCCTGCCAGGTTGGGTGAGTATGAGGCTATCCCTTCTAAGAAAGGGCCTCTACCTTGTTCTGTGCATTAACTGTACTCTCAGCTTGTCCTGGTGACTGTCACACTCTGTCACACTCACAGAGAATGTGAGGTTCTAGGCCTAATTTGCATCTTTGATGCCTTCTTTACATGGAAATGGCTTTACTGTGAGTGACTCTTGCTACTTCTTGGAAGGTCAAGAGTTTAACTCCTTTCCGCCAAAGTTCTTACGAAGAGGGGCCTCTGTAGTTGGGTTTGATGGGGCTGGGTTGCAGAGATGTGATATTAGTATTATCATCTGTCTCTTAGGTACCAAGTGAGTAGATTTTCCTATCAGAAGTGTCAGGATGCTGATGGTGTTTGGTTCCGAAAGATTCCACTTTGTAAAGGTAAGTTAGAAAAACAACAACTGACAGTAGTAGGAGGTTAGATGAGGTCAGGTCACTAAAGAACCAGCCTGAAACTACAACAGTCTGTGTGTTCTCCCTCGATGTGACTAGGATGAGGAAAATCTTTCAGAGTGTGTTGTCAGACTGACGTTGGGAAACAAAGAGCTAAGTAGGCTCCATATCCCTGCCAATTTTGCTAAAGATGAAAAATATATATAACCCATATTTCTAGTCATGGGAACAGTTATATTCTTTCTCAATACTTTACTGTGTTTTCTGAATTTTTCTGGAATTAGTATGTATTACTCATATAATCAGAAAATTTAATAATGCTCTTTGAAAAATGCATAATCCAGGATCCAAATTTCAAATAATCTTCTAGTTACATGATTAGTAGCATAAGTCTCATTTGTACCTAAATGAAGACTGTCCACTTTGATGTACTACCTGAAGTGGAATTCTCTAAATCCCTTCTGCAGTTATTCACTGTCCACCTCCACCAATAATTGAAAATGGGAGGCTTACAGGCATGACAACAAAACACTTTTTATATGGAAATGAAGTTTCTTATGAATGTGGCCAAGGATTCGATCTTCTGGGAGAGAAAACTATACGGTGCCTGAGTGATGCTGAAGGACATGGAGTTTGGAATGGACCTCCCCCAACGTGCTTCCAGTCTCGTCCTGTGACTCACTGCCCTAGCCCGGAAGTCAAACATGGATACAAGCTAAATAAAACTCTTTCTTCATACTCCCACAATGACACAGTATATGTTGCCTGCAATACTGGCTTCATCATGAACGGCAGTCACTTGATTAGGTGTCATACCAATAACACATGGGTTCCAGGTGTACCAACTTGTATCAAAAAAGGTAAGATATTATAAGGGATAAATTATGGGATATTGCACAGAATAATGGAAAAAAATGAATCTTCACTTGCCATTCTGCCTAAAGAAAAGCATCTAGAAGCTGAAGCAATTATAGTGTTTTATAAAATATCTGCTTTTTCTTATCTTCTCACTTACCTGATTTTTTTTCCCTTTCCTTTCTAAGTGTGTTGAGCTAAAGTACATGAAAGAACAATGGTTAACTTCCAAATGGATGGAGTTCACAAAACTTATTTTTTTAATGGAGTTAAAATAAAAATTCACATACCTCTCTTTTTGCAAATTTTGGGCAGTGATAATGCTTGATAATTTGATACTAGCCAGAAGGAGAACTTTGGGTGTACCGAATAATTCAAACCTATTGAATTGTCTTTTTTTTTTTTTTTAATTTTATTGTGCTTCAGGTGAAAGTTTACAGCACAAATTAGTTTCTCATTCAAAAACTTAAACTGTTTTGTGCCAGTGGTTGCAATCCTTGCAATGTGTCAGCACTCTCCCCCTTCCACCCCCGGTTCCCTGTGTCCATTTGCCCAGTTTTCCTGTCCTGTCCTGCCTTCTTGTCTTTGCTTTTGGGCAGGAGTTGCCCCTTTTGTCTCATATACTTGGTTGAACTAAGAAGCACATTCCTCACATGTGTTATTGTTTTATAGGCCTGTCTAATCTTTAGCTGAAAGGTGGACTTCAGGAGTGGCTTCAGTTCTGAGTTAGTAATGTGTCTGGGTGCCATAGTCTTGGGGGTTCCTCCAGTTTCCGTCACATCAGTTAAGTCTGGTCATTTTTTGTGAATTTGAATTTTGTTCTACATTTTTCTCTCACTCTATCCCAGGCCCTCTACTATGATCTGTCAGAGAGGTTGGTGGTGATTGCCGGGCACCATCTAGTTCTTCTGGGCTCAGGCTGGTGGAAGCCATGGTTCATGTGGTCCATTAGTCCTTTGGATTAATATTTTGTGTCTTTGGTTTTCTTCATTCTTCTTTGGGACCAATAGATGTATCTTAGATGGCTGTTCCTAAGCTTTTAAGACCCCAGACGCTACTCACCAAAGTAGGATGTAGAACATTTTCTTTATGAACTATGTTATGCCACTTGACCTAGATATCTCCCAAGACCATGGTCTCCAGCCCTCAGCCCCAGTAACTCGGTCCCTCAGAGTGTTTGGATGTGTCTAGGAAGCTTCTAACGACTTTGCCTTGATTAAGTCGTGCTGATTTCCCCTATATTGTATATTGTCTTTCCCTTCACCAAAGTTAACACTTGCCTACTATCTAGTTAGTGATTTCCCCTCCCCATCCTTCCCACCCTCATAACCATCAAAGATTGTTTTTTTCTGTGTGTAAACCTTTTCATGAGTTCTTATAATAGTGGTCTCATACAATATTTGGCCTTTTGTGACTGACTTATTTCACTCAACATAATGCCCTCCAGATTCATCTATGTTGTGAGATGTTTCGCAGATTCACCATTGTTCTTTACCATCACGTAGTATTCCATTTTGTGTATGTACCATAGTTTGTTTATCCATTCATCTGTTGATGAGCACTTAGGTTGTTTCCATCTTTTTGCTATTGTGAATAGTGCTGCAGTGAACATGGGTGTGCATATGTCTATTCGTGTGATGGATGAGTTGTCTTTCTTGTAACTTAGTTATTGTTTGGTAGCCTTATTCTTGTCAGTGACTACCAATTGGTGACCCAGAACTGAATTCCGCTCACGTAACTATTTTGTTTTATTTGGTTTTGTTTCACTTTAAGTGAAACCCATCTCCACAACCCGAGATGAACAGTGAACTCATGATACAGTGAGGGCCCTCCTTGAGCTGAGCAGTGGCTGCCCCTTTTAGGAGGACAGAGGTTCTCGGATTTGCCCTGCCTTCCTGCTTCACTCCCTGCCTCCCGTAGGCATGTGAATGTGTGATCTTACTTAGACTACCGCCTGTCTGCTATTTAAAGGGAAAAGAAGAGAATACTGCACTGATAGACTGAAATTGTGGGCTGCAACCATTGATGTCTGTCTTACCTTTAACACTTTTCTTCCAATCACTTATGATATAGGTAGGAAATGCCTAGTGCTGGTCAGTCTGGATGAAATGGATAAATGTTTGCAGATATCAATTAATTCATTTATTGACTGCTTTGTTCCTCTGTGCTGAATTAAAGATCCTTTCTTATTGGTGTCTAAGCTTTCTTAGGGTGTGAACCTCCATCTGAGATCCCCAATGGGTGGCATACTGGTGAAGACACAGCTCGCTTTTCCCCTGGAATGTCAGTCCTGTACAGCTGTGACCCAGGCTACCTGCTGGTGGGAGAAGAACTCCTTCTTTGCACACATGAGGGAACCTGGAGCCAATCTGTCCCATATTGTAAAGGTGATTTATCTAGTTTTTTCCCTATTTTTAATCAAATTTATCCCAAATAGATGTATTCAGACAGGTATTTTCAAATTAAAATAGCCAAAGAGATACATTAATTGGAAGCCATCTAAAAAAAAAAAAACCCAAACCAAACCCATTGCCATTGAGTTGATTCCGACTCATGGCAACCCCATATGTGTCAGAGTAGAACTGCTAAACACCCCAAGATAAGAAAAATTAGGCCGTAGTCTATATGGTAAGTGACCACTTATGTAGTCATTTTAATACAGTAAGTCAAAGTGCATATGTATATGAAACAACTAAAGTGCCAATTGTATTTGCACTGTGGTTACAGGTAGGTGTGCATTTAACAAAATACTAATGAAAGCACAATGATCTTTTGAGTGTATTTCCTCTGAGTGATGGTAGGATTATTTTAAAATAAAATTTGTCAGCTTATTGCCTGCCTTGTTTCTGTATCCCTAACAACCAGAAATAGTGTTTTTATGTGTTCCTCTGTGCTGAATTAAAGAATTCTGAATTACAGAATGTCATTTCCACTATCATAAATAATTCATATGAAATATTAGTAATAAGCTAACATTTATTGAGCACATATTACTTTATGCCAGGTAGTGTAAACAGCACTTTACATGCATTCTCTCCTTTACTCTCCATAAGCGCTATACGAGGTTGGCAGCTTTATCATCCCTGTTTTACAGATGAGGTCCCAGAGGCATGGAGAGGTTGTAACATACCCAAAGTCACACAGCTAGGACTGCTAGAGTCAAGTAGGATGCAAACCCAAAAACTCACACTGTAGACCCCTGAACTGAAAAGATGAAATAAATGAGGAAGCATGGACATGTATGAGCGAATTAGAAAGTAAAAGTAGAAGCAGATGAAACAGTAATTCAGAATACTTAATATTATCCACTGAGCCCTCACCGTTACATTAAGGAGGCATTAAAATTATCCAACACTCCTAGCACAGAAACTGGAACACAAAGAAGAAAAATAATTTGGCTTAAATTATCCAGATGGCATTGAGATGGCTGATGTTAAGCGTGTGTGCCTAGGATACTGACTTGTAGTTTTTGCTTACTGGTTTCATAAACTTTCCATTAAGGGCAGTATCTGCATCCTTGGAAAAAAGTCAAAATATGACACAGCATCAATTAGATTCCTTTCATTTCAGAGGTAAACTGTAGCTTCCCAGAGTATATTAGTGGAATGCAGAAGGGGCTGGAGCCCGGGAAAATGTATCATTATGGAAGTACTGTAACTGTGGAGTGTGAAGATGGATATACCCTGGAAGGCAGTCCCCAGAGCCAGTGTCAGGAGGATCACAGATGGAACCCTCCCCTGGCTGTTTGCAAATCACGTAAGTGCAAAGGCCTTCACTGTGACCATCAGCGGCTCTCACCTGTCCCACTGGAGAAAGGAGAGTGATGGGGTCTCCCTCAAAGTTGGGGACCCCTGGGTGATAAACTGACGTAGGTCTGTGACCAGTGGCATGACAGCAGAAGAATTCTGAAGTCAGTGCTCTGTTCTACAAAAACACAAAACTCTCTGAGGATGGGGGAAGTAAATGAAAGAAAATAGAGAGGAACACTTACTTAAAAGGAGCAAAAAGCAAAACTTAAAACCTTACATTTGGAAAGGAATTGCTGCTGAGTCTTCCCTCATTTTTGCATCTTGATTTATGAGTACTTACCAATTTGACAAGGGGCTCCAAAAATATGTTAGCTGACCTGTTATAACAGTTAATATTTGCATTCTAACCTGAGAACTCCCTGATTATAACGTTGAGTATATCGGTTTACTTTATTGGTGAATTACCCCAAGCCGCCTAATTAAAGTGATATCCAAAAAAGTCCAGTGAATTGTTGCATAAGAAATGAAGGAAGAGTGGGTTCCCGTAAGTCTTTCTAAATAGACTCAAGAGGGACCTGAGGGTTGACTTCTGGAACGTTATCATGGGACGTGGGCTATATCGAATTATGCTACTAGGTTGACATTTTCATGATTTTATATTTTCTCCCTAGGCTCACTTGCTCCTCTTCTTAGTGGTAAGTTTTCTTAAATACTTGAAGAAAAGCTCTAATCATATTTTACAAAAATATACAAATCAGAGGCCCTATATCCTACGTGGGTTTTATTTTTTTTTCACTTTAACTCATTGAAAAGTATAGGTTTTCATTGTTCAAGTGTATTTTATTGTGCATTCTACATTTTAAAATGTCACTTTTGACATTTTAAAGTTGGATAAATTATTTAAACATCCTCAATTTTTAAAATGAAAGGTTACTTTTCATTAAATGTTGGATTTTGGTATCATTTGGCTTATTTGCTGTAGCAGAATGTATTTTCCAATTGAAAGTGAAATGTACATTATATAGAATCATGAGCATGGGCTGCTGGCGTCCTGTGCCCCTAAGTTCACCTCAGTGACAAAAATGTTCCTAATAAAACTGAAAGGAACAGAAAAACTCAATGGAAACTTGATTGGAACGCTGTAGTCATATGCTTCATGCTTTAGGTTAAATATAGACTGATGGATCAAATCAGAAAAACATGAAGCCAACATATTCAGGAATTCAGCATTTCTGTCTAAGAAGTACTGAAGTGTAAAAGTCACACAATATTTTCCTCACCACTAGGAACAGGCCCCACCATGAGTTCAAAAACAATACAAGTCCTGTTTCTCTGGCATTTGTTATTTGCTGTTTTGTTTTCTAGGTATTTCTGTGGGTTTAGTACTTCTTATCATCTTGGTTGCTGTCTCTTTATGCATGCTATTAAAAGACAAAGGGTAAGTTAAAATGTATGCTTGACCAAAATGCATAAAAATTTTGTTTTTTTGCTTGAAAGTAAACACAGAAGCCCAGGGTATATGAGATGAATATTGCAGTGATGATAATTGGAAGAAGACATGCTGGGCTATACAAAAGGAAACTCTGTAAAAACTTACAAGATACTAAAGACTTATTTGAATAATATTTATTCAGATTGTGCATCATAAACATCTATAAAATAGAAAGAAAAATATTCAAAAATTCCAGTGGTCTTACCTACAAATATTTTGGTATATTCCTGTCTGATATTTTTCCTATATTCTTTCTTTTTTTCTTTTCAAACTGAAATTTTTGTCATAGCTTCTTGTGTTAAATTTTTTTCATTTAGCCTAATGCACATATTTCTCAAGTCTTTAACTCATGTTCTGTTTTTAGTTATTTAATTGCATATTAACCAATTATATGTATCTCTCTTTTGTGGAAATTTTAGGTTACTTCCACATTTAGGATAAGGAGTAATATAACACGTTATATGGAACCTTTGAATAAACATTTTTTCACATCTACTTTTTACCTTAGAATAGGATTACCCTCTGCTGTAGAGTCGATTCTATAGGTGACCCCATAGGACAAAGTACAACTGCCCCATAGGGTTTCCAAGGCAGTAAATCTTTACAGAAGCAGTCTGCCACATCTTTCTTCCCTGGAGTAGCTGGTAGGTTTGAACGGGCAACCTTTCAGTTAGCCGCCAAGCGCTTAACCACTGCACCACCAGAATAGGATTACTAGGGAAAAGTGTATGAACATTTAAGATGTTGGACAAATATTGCTCAGTGCCTTTCTAGAACATTTTTCCTAACTTGATCATGTCAAATAATTACTGTATTTAGATATACTGTCATTCTGCATCCCTTTCTCTGCTCCACTGTCCTATCCGTTCTTCTCTCACAAACCACTCTGTGTTGAATTAGTATAGCTTTATGTCATCACAATATCTGGTAGGGCAACAATTCCCTCACTATATATTTTTTAGCATTTTCCTCTGTTTGTTTTTACAGGCAATTTTTAGAATGATTTGTCATTTTCTAAAAACAAACATGTTCAGGCTGCATTTAAAACTATAGATGCATTCATGAGAAAATGACATCTTTACTATAATGTTTTCCCATTCACAAGCCTAGTACCCCTTTCCATTTCTCCAAGTAATCTTTTCTCTCACTCCATTGTTGCTTTCATATACTTAAATGTATTACAAGCTTTCTATGTTTTATCATGTTATGTTTTCTTATCCAGAATTAGACATACTCCAGCATTTTCTTTTCCATTCAGTATTAACATCTGAGTGTGTAGGAATTTATTTTGTGGTATGGTGTGTGATGTAACATCTCTTGTGTTTCTTTCTATAGATTCAATTTTCCCAAAGCCTATTTTGAGTAAACCATCCCCTCACCATTGGTTGTAGTGTTTCCTTTACCAAATATGGTTTATCTATTCAAAGTTTACCTATTCCTGTATAAACTTGGGTTTATGTCAGAGATATCTGACATAGAAATGGAACATAGATTATGTTCCACTTATCCAACTTGTCTACATGAACTGGATATACTCTGTTAGTAATTGTAGCTTTCTAATAGTTTTTCTGAGGTAGTTTAGTTTTCTCCCTCTTTAAACTATTTTGAAAATTTCTTCTGTTCATTTTTGCAGATAGACTATAGAATCATTTGCTCCCCCAAAAAAGCAAATGTTAGGAATTTGATTGGAAGTGCCTTACGCCTATATATCTATTTGGGAAAAACTGAGTTCTTTAGAATATTAACTATTTCCTTCCAGAATCATGGATGACTGATTCAGGTGTTGTTTTAAATCTCAGTTAAATGTAACAGTTCACTTCATGTAGGCTACATAAATCTCTAAATATCTTGTTCTTATTGCTCTTGTAAAAAGAATCATTTTTTGTCTATGTCTGGTCATTAATTTGAATTATATCTAGGAAAGCCTATCTTTACACAATTATTCATTCTAATAGCTTCCAGTGAGTTATCTAGTCTTCTCAGTAGGAAACTATATGTTCTGTAAATTATTATTGTCACATCTTTTCCACTGTCTATACACCGTCTCCTCACTTATCAACATGGTTAGATTCCAAAGACCAGGTTGTCATGCAAAACTGGTGTTATGCGAAAATGGAGGATGACCACATTAGATCACAAGATGGAGGATGACTACATCATTACATAACTGCCAAATAACATCATTACATAACTGCCAAACTGCTGAGAATCATGACCCAACCAAGCCGACACAACCTTAACTATCAAAGCCAGCATTACTCTCGCCTCACACCTCGGTGTTCATTATTGGCAGATATACACTGTTAATGTGCAAAATATTTGGACAGATTTTTTACTATTGTTGTAAATGTAAAATATTGGATAACAGGATAGTCAATAAGTAATGAAAAGGTATACATTTTCATTTACTTATTTTTTTCCCCTCACTTTATTAACTTGACCAGAAATTCAAGGGCAATCTTCAAAATAATAGGTAATATTGGTCCCATTTTTTAATGTAACATTAAAATGAAACTTACGTTTCATCACTAAAAATTATGCTGGATGTTTTTCTTTTCTTTTTTATGTTACAGGAAGAAGTATATTTCTATTCCTAGTCACACAAGTTGTTTTTTATTTCCCTTTTAAAATCACTATAAATCTTTTTGTTTGTTTCCCTTTTTTAATCACATCTTTTATATCTCTATAAAACTTTTGTTAATTATTGGTCTTTTTAAAATACAAAAGTAGACATGCTTGTTGTAACAAATCAGATAGTTTATAAAGAAACTGAATAGTCTCTTTCTCTGTACCACTACCAGCGCACTCAGAGCCCAACATATTGAGGTAACTAACGTCGGCAATGTGCTCTGGACATTTCCATACATTTCTCTATTTAGAATATATGTAGATGGCCTTTCTTATTTGACCAGTAGATGTTAGAGAAGTAGAAGTGAAATGAAAAGAGGTAATGACCACATCCAATCATTCTGTTATTATATAATAATTACTGAGTGTTTACCACGTCTTTAGCACACTAGGCTAGAGTTCCAAAGCTGAGCAGGACGTGGGTTCTGTTATCAAGGACATTACAGTCTAGTAGAGGAAGAAAAGCAGGTAAATAAACAAGTACCATAAAGTAATATTGCCATAATGGATTATATAATATTTCATAGGGCACAAGTCACTTGACCAATACTTGGAAGTTTCATCAGAAAAAAACTTCATACTGGAGGAGATGTTCCATGTGAACATCAAGAGACAAGGAAAGAAAGGCATTGCAGATAGAAGGAGCAGTTTGAGTAAAGGATCAGAGGCCTTTACTAACAGAGTTTGGGCTTTATTTTGTAGGATTCTAATCAAGGAAATTATATGTTCAGATTTGCATTTTCAAAAGAAGGGGCAGGATTGGCATGTCAACTAAAGCGGTAGTGGTGGGGATCAAGAGGATGGGAGAGATGTAAGATCTATCTTCAATATTAAGAAGATAGGATTTTCTGGACTTAGTGACTTATTGAATATGAGGAGAAGGAGGCCCATAGATTGACTAGTGCAGAGGTGATTGGGTGAACCCAGTGGCTCTCTAAAAGAGAAGAGGGAAAGTTTTGTGGGAAAGGCGGTGAGTTCATTTCTGACCTATTATTCTGAGGCATCCATGATATACGACTCAGGTAGGTGACACTTAAATCACAATTGAAGCCATGAGACCAAAAAGAATATACAAGGTAAAAGTCAGGATATTAAATAGAACAGGCCTCGAAGGGATATTAGTGTTTAAAAGGCAGGAAGGGGAGGAGCAGTCAGAGGTAGGGTGAACACTAGGAGAGAGTAGTTTCACAGAATTCAAGGGAGAAAAAGGTCTTCAAAAAAGATAAAATAAAATAGGGATATAATTTACATGTCATTTCCTCACAGGAAGAAGATAATTTTAGCCAGGAATAATTAGAAATTTAAATAAATAGAAAATGTGGTCTCTATCTCTTTCCTTCATGCTACTAAGTTTGCTATCAGAGCATTGCATGAACAGGAATATTTGCAAACCTTGGGAATGCCGACAAGCTCAACTAATTCATAATGTTTTGGTATGGTTATTATTGACTTTATTAACATGATTATATCGTATACTTTATTAAGTGCCTCAACTGATATGAACCAAGCATACATATTCAAAGAAGTTCCTAAGTGTCATTCACTTGTTTGATTTACATTTTCTAACCTACTTCAGTTTACTTTTTCTATAGTTAACATACATTTAAGCTGCCTTAAATACATTTTGTAAATAATATGTGTAGTAAATGATTTTAAAATAAATGCCTAGTAATAAAACTAAATATTTTTTAAAGCCATCCAAACACTTGGAGGAGAGACTATACAATTCTTTTCTAGCCATCTGAGATATTTTAACAAAGCCTAAATCTCAGATGGACACCAAAATTATCATTGTACAATTTTCTTCAGGTATCTTCCTATAATCTGACCTCTTAGTAGCGCGTGACATGCCCTACGTTCCCTTAGCTGTCATCTTTCTTCCCCAGTCATTTTGTAATACTTCATTTCAGGGTTCTGCAGTATTATCACATTTCATTATCTTTTACTAATTATAGCAAAATGGTTTTACAATCACAATAAAGTATGTGTGCTTTCAAAGAGTAAAAGTACAATCATTCTCTTTAAAATCATTTAAAGCTTTTAGTGCTGTGTGACTATATGAGGATTTGCAAGTAAACATCAAATAGGAAAAGTTCCTTTTAAGTTAGATTGGAAGATTATGCCCCAAACTGGAAAATTTATGTTCAAATCCTTTTTTTTTTTTTTTTTTTCAGTTTGAAGGTTGTGTGGTTAGTCATCTATCCCTTCACCTAGGGGTAAAGCAGCCAAGTGTCAACTTCTAACTTAAACATTTACAAACTGAGCAAGTTACTTACTTTTATGTTCTACAAAACGGGGGTTACAGTGTATGCTTCATAGGGTACTTACAGAGGATAAAATGAACTCATCTATGAAGTACACTTAGTGTTGGGAATGATGGTAAGCAAATAACTGTATGTCATTAGAGTAATCATGGTCAATGAGTAAAAATTTTACTTTTTTTCTTCCTTCTTCCATTTAGCAGTTATTATACAAATGCAGCTCCTAAAGATGGAGCTCGTCCCTTGGAAGCACAAGAAGTATATTCTGTTGATCCATACAGCCCAGCAAGCTAATCAGAAGACAAACTGGTATCTAATGAAACTGAAATATTATTATTAACTTATATGTCAATTTCTTTATATTCATCAATAAGCAAAGTTCTAAATGTATATGGTTCTGACGATTGCACAAATCTTTTGTAATCTTACACATGAATTTTTATCTACTTCATATTGCCAACTTATGTTCCTGGTTTTTGTATCCAGTCATTTGTTCAACAAACATTTAAGTAAATAGCAAAATAGGTAAGAATAGAATTAATAAGAAGGTGATAAGTACAGTGAAGAGAAATAAAGCAGGCAAGGGGGATAGAGAGAGCAGGGTGGTTGCAAGGGAAATCTTCACTAAGCAAATGACATTTGAGCAAAGGTTAGAGGGAAATAAGGAGGTAGGTATATGGGTATATGGGGGAAGAGCAGTCCAGGAAGAGACAGTAGTGAGTCAAAGACCCTAAGGTGTTGTGTGTTTGGTGGGTTAGAGGCATAGCAAGGAGGCCAGTCTTATCTAGAGTGGACTAAGAAGAAAAGTGGTAGAGATCAGATGATGAAAAGGGGGAGATCATATACAGTATGGTTGGGCATTGTTTTGAACTTGGTTTTTTATTTTGAGATGGGAACCATCGGGAGGCTTTAATCAGAGGAGTGACACAATTACCTTAATGCTGTATTGAGAATAGGCTGTTAGAAGTCAAGGGTAAAGAGAGGGAATTGGTAAGGAGGCTGTTGCACTAATTCAGGCTAGAATTGTAGTGGCTATGACCAGGCTGGTAGAAGTGGAGGCTGGAAGGAATCCAGTTCTGCATATATTTTAAAACAGTGACGATAAGATCTGCTGACAGTTTGTGTTGGAATATAAGAAAAGGAGAGTCAATAATTGCCTGAGCAATTAGAAGGGCGGAGTTTTCACTCATTATGACGACTGAGAACATGAAGTGCAGGACTGGAGAAAAAATCAGGAGTTCCACTTTGAAGATGCTAATAGACATCTTCAAGATGTTTAACAGACATCCAGTGGACATGTCTGCCAAGAAGGCAGCTGGATGTACAAGTCTGTATCTCAGGGGAAAGGTCCAGGCAGTTGTCAGTGTACAGATGAGACTGAATAATGAGTCCAAACAAGATCACCAAGGGGGCGAATGTAGGCAGGTAAAAAAGAAAGGTCCAAGTACTGAGCCTCAGACCCTCCAACACTAAGAATCAAGAAGTGAGAAGAAATGAGCAAAAGAACAGAAGGGCAGCCTCTAACATAGAAGAAAACTCCCAAAGTGCGGTGTTGAGGAAATCAGGTGAAGAGTTTTAAGGAAGAGGATATAATCAACTCAAATGCTGCTGAGGTCAAGAAAGAAGAGTACTAATAACCATTGAATTTAGCAGCACAGAATTCATTGGTGAACTTGACAAGCGCAGTTCTTGTAGAGAAGAAGGGGGCAGAGGCCTGATTGGAGTGGGCTTAAGAGAGAATAAATGAGAGAAATTGAAGACATCAAATATAGACAACTCTTTCGAGGAGTTTTTCTATAAAGAGGAGCAGATAAATAGAATGATAGCAAGACATAGAGGTAAAGTCAAGGGAAAATTTTGTAAAGAATGGAGACATAGTAGCTATGCTGCTATACCTGTGTCTTGATGGGAATGAGCCAGTAGAAAGGAAAAAATGATGACAGAAAAGAGAAAGAAGAATTACTGGAGCAGTGACTGGGTAAGCTAGAAGAAATGGGATCCAGTGCTTGGTAGAGGAGTTGACCTTAGATAGCAGTGTGGGTTTACTAAGAGGAGGGAAGGCAGACATTAGGGTGCAGAAGCTGACAAGTGGGTAGATGTGATGGTGAACATGTGTGGAAGTTCTGCTTCTGTTTCTTGTTGAATAGAAAGCAAAATGATCAGCTGAGAGAAAGATTATGGAAGGAGATGTTGGAGATTTATGGAAAAAGGAGAGGTATTAAATAGTCACCATGAGAGTGGAAGACTGAATGATAGAAGTAAAGAAAGGGCGATGTTGTTGTCAGCTGCCATCGAGTTGGTTCCGACTTATAGTGACCCTGTGTACAACAGAACGAAACACTGCCTGGTCCAATGAGGGCGATAGACTACGTTAAAGGTCCACCTGAGGTTCGCAGGAGGAGAAGGGAGTGAATATTTGAAAGTATACTATGCTCAGGCATTATGCTGGTCGTCTTACATGCCTTATCTCATTTAGCCCTCACTACAACTCTGAAAGGTGGGTCTTATCCCAGGATAACACCAACATGTAGAAATAATATCCAACATGAGAAAAACAAGCCTAAAAGATTTTCTTGGCCAAGGTCTCAGGGCCAGAAATTGGCAAAGGTGGAAATCCAGTTCAAAACTAACTCTGAAATGCTTTCTCCCATATATATAATAAAATAAAAACAAAACAAAACCCATTGCCGTTGAGTCAATTCTGACTCATGGCAACCCTATAGGACAGAGTAGAACTGCCCCATAGGGTTTTAAAGGCTATATAATCTTTACGGAAGCAGACTGATAACATCTTATTCCTGTGGAGCAGCTGGAAACCGCTGACCTTTGGGCTAGCAGTCTCGCACTTTAACCACTGCACCACCAGAGCTCCATTCCTATAAAACATATAAAGTAAAAATATCTTCTAAGTTCTATAAATATTTAAAAGATATCACCTCTGCACTCTTTCAACTTATTTTTGTAAGAAAAATAAGGCCTAGACATAATAGTATAAAAATGTTGTCGTTGCTGTTAGGTGCCATCAAGTTGCTTCCGACTCATAGCAACCCTATGTACAACAGAAGGAAACACTGCCCAGTACTGCGCCAGCCTCACAATCTTTGCTATGTTTAAGCCCACTGTTGCAACTACTATGTCAATCCATCTCGTAGAGGGTCTTCTTCTTTTTTGCTGACCATCTACTTTAGCAAGCATGATGTCCTTCTCCAGGGATTGGTCCCTTCTGATAACATGTCCAAAGTATATGAGACAAAGTCTTGCCATCCTCACTTCAAAGGAGAATTCTGGTTGTACTTCCATGACAGATTTGTTCCTTCTTCTGACAGTCCATGGTATAGTCAATATTCTTCACCAACACCATAATTCAAAGGCATCAGTTCTTCTCCAGTCTTCTTTATTCATTGCCCAGCTTTCATATGCATATGAAGCAATTGAAAATACCATAGCTTGGGTCAGACACACCTTAGTCCTCAGAGTGACATCTTTGCTTTTGAACACTTTAAAAAAGGCTTTTTAAAAAATATTTATTTATTCATTTAAAAATAACAATGGAAAATATCTATTACTTGTTAACATAATTTTTTATTGACCTTTAGATGAAGGTTTACAGAACAAACTAGCTTCTCATTAAACAGTACATATATTGTTTTATGGCATTGGTTAACAACCACATGACATGTCAGTACTCTCCCGTCTCGACCTTGGGTTCCCTATTACCAGTTTTCCTGTCTCCTCCTGCCTTCTAGTCCTTGCCCCTAGGCTGGTGTGCCCTTTTAGTCTTGTTTTGTCCTATGGGTCTGTCTATACTTTGGCTGAAAGGTAAACCTCCAGAGTGACTTCATTACTGGGCTAAAAGGGTGTCGGGGGCCATATTCTCAGGGTTTTTCCAGTCTCTGTCAGGCCAGTAAGTCTGGTCTCTTTTTGTGAGTTAGAATTTCGTTCTACATTTTTCTCCTGCTCTGTCCAGGACCCTCTATTGTGATCCAGTCAGAGCAGTCAGTGGTGGTAGCCCGGCACCATCTAGTTATACTGGACTCAGTCTGGTGGAGGCCATAGTAGTTGGGGTCTATTAGTCCTTTGGACTAATCTTTCCCTTGTGTCTTTAGTTTTCTTCATTTTCCCTTGCTCCTGAAGGAGTGAGACCAGTGGAGTATCTTAGATGGCTGCTTACAGGCTTTTAAGACCCCAGACGCTACTCACCAAGGTAGAATGTAGAACAATTGCTTTATAAACTATGTTATGCCAGTTGAGCTAGATGTTCCCTGAGACCATGGTCCCTACAGCCCTCAGCCCAGCAATTCAGTCCCTCAGGGAGTTTGGATTTGTCTATTGAGCTTCCATGACCTTACCCTGAAAAAGTTGTGCTGGCGTCCCCAGTGTTGTGTACTGTCTTACCCTTCGCCACAGTCACCACTTATCCATTGTCTATTTAGTGTTTTTCCACCTCCACCCTCATAACATCAAAGATTGTTTCCTTCTCTGTGTAAACCTTTTCATGAATTTTTATGGTAGTGGTCTCATACAATATTTGTCCTTCTGTGATTGACTTATTTCACTCAGCATAATGCCCTCCAGATTCATCCATGTTGTGAGATGCTTCACAGATTCATCATTGTTCTTTATCATTGCATAGTATTCCACTGTGTGTATGTACTGTAGTTTGTTTATCCATTCATCTGTTGATGCGCATCTAGGTTGTTTCCATCTTTTTGCTATTGTGAACAATGCTGCAACGGAACATGGGTGTGCACATGCCTATTTGTGTGACGGCTCTTATTTCTCTAGGATATATTCCTAGGAGTGGGATTGCTGGATCATATGGTATTCCTATTTCTAGCTTTCTAAGGAAGTGCCATATCATTTTCCAAAATGGTTGTATCATTTTGCATTCCCACCAGCAGTGCATAAGAGTTCCCATCTCCCCGCAGCCTCTCCAACATTTGTTATTTTCTGTTTTTTTTTATTCATTCCAGTAATGTCGGGGTGAGATGGTATCTCATTGTGGTTTTGATTTGCATTTCCCTAATGGCAAGTGATTGCGAGCACTTCCTCTTGTGTCTGTTGGCTGCTTGAATGTCTTCTCTGGTTAAGTGTCTGTTCATTTCCTTTGCCCATTTTTTAATTGGATTATTTGTCTTTTTGGTAGAGGTGTTGGATTTTCCTGTAGATTTTAGAGATTAGATCTTTGTCCGATTTGTAGTAGCCAAAAATTTTTTCCCAGTCTGTAGGTTCTCTTTAAAGAGGTCTTTTGCAGCAGATTTGCCCAATGCAATATGTCATTTGATTTCT